ATCTGTTGCTCCTCCGCCTCTTTCTTGCGCTGGCGCTGGCTTTATACGCTGGCTACTTGCCTGCCGGCTAGAGTTCCGCTTGATGATATCTTTGTTGTCCTGCTCATATTTTTCGATTATCGCTTCCGTCTCTTGAACATCGATCTCGTTTGTCAAGTTGTAAACTGTACATCATGCACAGAGGTGCGCACACATACCAACATATAGCGTCAAGACGGGCGAACACAGGTAGAGGTGCTTGCATCCCGGCAAGCTAGCCGGCCGCTGCCTTCGCAGCGAGAAGCATTGCTGCCCCTGACCAATATACTTGCCAATATTTTCGACAAACTCTAGATAGTCGTTGTATGCCCTCAGCGACTTAAAGTCCGATTCTCGCTTATTGAAGATGCGGGCCACGCGTTTCCTGACCCGCACCTCCTTCTCCACAGTCAAGTCCTCGAATATTTGCCGGTAAAACGCGCCCTTTCGGATGACTAGCCCGCAAACCGGGCACTTTGCGGGCCCGCCCCCGAACAGGCGCTCGACGCAGCTCTCACATAAGCGGTGGTAGCAACTGCTCACAAGGAACTTCATGTCTGGGTTAAGGTAGCGGTTGCTCTGACACACAGGGCACAGGTCCATCGGGTCGTACGGCGGGATGTCTTGATCCGTGCCCGCCGTTAAGCTTGCCATCTTTAGCCCTCTACCTTTCTAATGTGTAAGTATGTGTGAAGTGTAGTGGCTGTTGTGCCGATTCAATACAACACATGGGTAATGGGATCAGGCATGGCCAAGAAATCCCAACGCAGACTGACGGCCCAGTTATGGGCTAAAAAGTTTACATATAGTAGTAGTATAGTGCAACCTGCTTGACCTGTTATTAGTGTATTAGCGCACAATGAAAAGGGGCGTTGTTATATTCATCACTGTTTGGCCCAAATCCATGGTTGGCAACAAAGTCCTGGGTATACTTCCGTGCCGCTTATTATGGACCAGCGTTTGCCTATATAAACGCAAGGGATTGGCAAAAAGTCCTTGGAATCCCAACGATACCCACCAAGGTGAAAGTAAATGAACAGTCGTTAGAGCAATTGGGAGATGGGTCAAGAATATTTATATTATATAATTCTTGTCGGGACCGTAGTTGGCTTGTCTGGGGTCTTGGCGCAATTGGTAGCGCGTTGGTCTCCAAAACCAAAGGTTGGGAGTTCGAGTCTCTCAGATCCCAGTGGAGTTTTTTGCCCTCAGTCGTAGTGGTTAATTAGATTAGATCTAGTGTGTACAGCGAGAGCCAAATTTGCGACCTCTCTCGCAATGAGAGGGGAGAGTGAGCTGGCGCATGCCCAAAACAACAGTCTCCACAAATATGTCGACCACTGCTGCTTCAAGACCGCGAACTATGCGCGACTGCCAACAAAGCCATGGTTGCTTAATCTCAGGTGAGTAGACTAAAGCCAAATTTGTCAATGAAAGGGTCAAACGGTAAACGGCGACCACGTGGGTGGGAGGAATGGGGCAGCAATGGTAAGGCGCGTGAGTGAGCGTTTTGTCAACATCGGGCGACTCAGCCTCACTCGCTAAGGTGGCGGCAAGCCTCGCGTTATTTTGCTTTCGGCTTGAGAGCAGCAACGCGATGACCACTGCTGGCGCTCATGCATCTGTGCATATTAAGTCTCTTTCAACTTGAGGCCTGTTGGTTGCTTAAGGGTGATCATTCATTGCTGCACACCACCACATTTTCTTCTTCATTCCCGCTGTCTATATAGCACAGCAACTTGGCACACACACAAAACATATACAGAGGCAATCCTTGGCCACCTGTAACTGGCATCTTGGCTGCGCTTCTCGCTACGACCAGCCACGCTGCGTGCACGAGCACGTGTGTGTGTATGTGTGTATATATTATCTACACAGATATTTATACATAATGACATATGTGCAACAGGGCTTAACTACGCCTAAGCCTGCTAGCAGCCGACCCAGAGCGCTCAATGTTATTCGGCCGAGCAGCAGCAACTCTCCCGCCCAGCAGCACAGGTCTCAGACCCCGCTTCGGTACAACACTAGCAACGCGCAGCTTCGTGAAGGATTGGGTATTGGTGCTGCCAATGGCAGCAATGGAGGTGACAGCAGAAGGGGGCAGGCGCC